GGTGGTGCCCCGTGGGGGGGGGGGGGGGGAACCCGCGCCCCCCCCCCACCCGCCAGCCTCTGTTTCCTTCCTTCACGCCAGTGGCTGTTTAAAAACTTATCTCAGAATGTATACTCCACTTAGGACAGCAGTTCTCAACCTGTGGTTCGCAACCCCTTGGAAGGGGTTCAATGACCCCTTCATAACAGTCGACTGTCACATATCCTGCGTATCAGATACTTACAATTCATAACAGTAACGAAATTACAGTTATGAAGCTGCAATGAAAATAATTTATGGTTGGAGTCCCCACAACATGAGGAACTGTATTAAAGGGTCTCAGCATTAGCAAGGTTGAGTACCACTGACTTAGATCTGTGGTCTAAATGGTCCTATCCAGCTAGATAGCTGATTCTCCACCTCTGACGCTAACCAACATGGTCAGCATGTTGAGTATGACTTCCTGATTCCTGAACATTGGCTGAACCAAGAGGCCCACTCCAGCCCATTAGTGTGATGTAGAAAGAGAAAATACTTAATGCTCCCACAGCATTTCCAGGTCAAGTGTGTTAGATTTTTTTTGTTGTTGTTGCTGTGACAAAATACCCAGCAGAAGCAACATAGAGGACGAAGGATTTATTTGGGTTTGTGATTTCATTCCATCATGGTAGACAGAACAAAGCAGCTGCAAGGTGACCGCCAGGAAGCAGAGAGAAAGAGAACACCACTATGGGCTATGGGCGTTCTCCTTTTTCCCTGTTATTCCATCCAATCTTAGTCTGTATGATGTGAGCCCCACACTGAGGGCAGATCTGCATCCCTTAGTGAATCCTCTCATTCCTTCATTTCCTGTATCAATGAAGATAAAAGAACCCTTAAAAAGAATGTGTCCATCCCTTTCTGTCTTTCCTCCCCAGTCTTCACAGCACATGAAAGTGCTTTGGGGTTGATGGGCTTGGGCGGGTAGTTAACAGCACTGTAGTGATGGGCTTGCCTAGGGGGTACTGACTCCCTTGTAATAACAGTGTGGTGTTGCCATCTAGTGCTTCTTTTTGGTTTTGTTCTGCTTGGGACAAGGTCTTGCTTTGTAGCCCAGTTGGCCTGGAACTCACGGTAATCTTCCTCCTTTAGTCTTCCCGATGCTAGATTCCAAGTGTGCACCAAGCGGGCCCAGCCCCCACTCCCTCCCTTCTTTTGGGAATAGATAACAGCTCTTTTTTTTTTTTTTTAACATGCTATGATCATGGGGGTTTTGTTGTTGTTGTTGTTTGTTTGTTTTTTGTTTTGTTTTGTTTTGTTTTCTTGAGACAGGGTTTCTCTGTGTATCCCTGGCTATTCTGGAACTCTCTGTGTAGACCAGGCTGGCCTCAAACTCTGACTGCCTCTGTTGGGATTAAAGGTGTGTACCACCACCCAACTATGATCACAATTTTAAAACAGGTTTTGCTTAAACAGCCAAATACCTGTTTTTCTCTCATTTCCTCAACTATATACATTTCTGTTTCATAGCATTCAGGTCCCTTCTGCTGAGTTGGGGCTAATATGTTCCTACCTCATAAGAAGATTGTTGGAGGACTGAATACTTGTCAAAAGACAGCATTTTTGATTACTTCCTTCTTTCCTTTCTTTCTCTTAGACAGGGTCCCTGGGATCACCCATGTGATCCACAACCCTGAGCAAAGCACTTTTTTTTTTTAAGATTTTATTTATTTATTATGTATACAACATTCTGCTTCCATGTATATCTGCACACCAGAAGAGGGCACCAGATCTCATAAGGGATGGTTGTGAGCCACCATGTGGTTGCTGGGAATTGAACTCAGGACCTCTGGAAGAGCAGTCAGTGCTCTTAACCTCTGAGCCATCTCTCCAGCCCAAGCAAAGCACTCTTACCTAATGGTGTAGTCCAGCGCTAAGTCCCAGGGATGCGGCTCCCTCTGTGATCCTTACGTTGCGTTGCGTTATTGTGGCAGTGGAGGGAAGGCAGGCACACCAGTGCTGCCGCCGCATGTCTGTTAAGGTCAAAGGACAACTTTTCAAGAGCTGATTCTCTCCTTCCACTTTTTAAAAAACTTTTTTAAGATTTATTTATTTGTTATGTGTACAGCATTCTGTCTGTATTCCTGCAGGCTAGAAGAGGGCTCCAGATCTCATTACAGATGGTTGTGAGCCACCTTGTGGTTGCTGGGAATTGAACCCGGGTCCTCTGGAAGAGCAGCCAGTGCTCTTATCCACTGAAACACCTCTCCAGCCCCTCTCCTTCCATTTTTAAAGATTTATTTTTTATGTGTTTGAGTGTTTGCCTGCATGTATGTAAGGGCTGTGCTCCCTGTGCCCATGGGAGCCAGAAGAGGGCGCTGAAAACCCTGGAACTGGAGTTAAGGATGGTTATAAACTGCTTGTGGTTTCTGGGAACTGAACACAGGACGAAAAAGCAGCCAGTGCTCTTAACCTCTGACCCGTGTTCCCACTTTGTGTTTGAGGGTGGACTGTCTTGTTAGTTCTTCCACTGCCTTTGTGTGTGAGCTTCTGGCTGATTCTCTGTTGTCTACCACCATCTCACTGTAGGTGCTGGGGCTGAGGTCACTCCAGACAGCTTTAAAATAAAAAACAAAAGCAAAAGCTTTCTAGGATTCAAACTCAACTCATCAGGGTTGTGTGAAGCACTTTTGCTCATTGCTGAATCAGCTTGCCAGCCCTAGGTCCCTAATTTAGGTCCTGGAGATTTTGCTTTATTCCCTTTGGGGTCTGTATTAAGTGTTGTTACTCTGTAGATTTGCAGCATTGGGACCCAGTGCTGTAGGGAGGCTAGTGTGAAGTTCTGCATACGCTAGCATGCCAGGAATTGTCAGTCAAGTGCAAGCGGGCCAGCAGGCAGAGTAAGTGCTTTCCCACAAGTATTTACACCTTTAAATGTAAAGATGGCTTGGCTGGCAAGATGGCCTGGTGGCTGTGGGTACCTGCTGCCAAGGCTGATGACCTGAGTGAGTTCAATCCCCAGACCCACATGGTGGAGGCAGACAACTCACTCCTGCAAGTTGTCCCCTTACCTACACACACATGCTGTGGTGTGCTTTCCCTACCCCCAATAAATATAATAATAATGGGGGGCAAAGACTTTCTCTGAATTCTCAACTGAATAAAATCCTTGGCCGAGCAAAAACCCCTTGTAAACCTGTTTGGTCCTGATGTCACAGATGCAAAGGTAAGACCCCTACTTGCTCTGCTGTAGGGTCATGTTTGCAAGAAGGAAAATCCCTGGTTGTATGGATGGTGACTTTAGATGGTCCATGACATCATTTGCTAGAGCTAGCCAGTCCAGCATGGTTTTATAGACAGTGTTGTGTAAGAGAAGGTAGAAACGGGTAGTTTAGGATAAGTAAGTGAGCTGTCTTGAAGAAAGGTGTCTAAGCTGGGTGTGGTGGTGACACAGGTGATCCAGCTGCTCAGGAGGCTGAGGCAGGAGGATTGCAAACTGGGCAATTTAGTGAGACTTGATCTTGCAATAAAATAAAAATAAAGGTCTGAGATTGTAGCTTAGTGGTAAAGTATTAGCCTAGCCTGTGTCTGCGTTCAATTCTTGTACCAAAAAGAAAAATGTTTAAAAAGTAATTCAAGAAATTTCTTGCTTTCAACATGTTGTGAAGGGCAGAATTGAAGTGATTGACTTGGGGGAATGATCCAGAGAGACAGGAACTAGGAAAAGAGTGTGAATGAAGAGAGTAGGATTTCACTAGTGGAAAGTTTGCTGTAATGTTCAGTAGTGTCCTTTGTTAGAAGGTCTGTGTTGTAATAAACACAGATTTTCAGATTAATAGTACTGTCTGAGTATTTGGCCTGAAATGTGGCTATTCATGGTGAGTCGCATGGTAAGACTGGATGAACCAACAGCCGCGGGAATTGGCCAGGTACTGTGTGGAGACACAGAGGGATGGCACCGGACTGTTGTAAGTGGTCACGTGGCGCCTGCGCTCGCAGCTCATTGAGAAGTGGTTCTCCTTAGTTCTGGAACCTCAACTAGGATTGTGACTCCCTTGTAAGTTGTATTAAATGAATGCAGGCACTCTGTTTCTAAGAGGAAAAGGCTCAAGTTTCCTGCCCTCTGACCCTTGCGGCTTCTTTCCTGCAGGTGCGGGGGCACGGTTGGTGCTATTTTCACTTGTCCGCTAGAGGTCATTAAGACGAGGTTGCAGTCTTCCCGACTAGCTCTTCGGACGGTGTATTACCCTCAAGTTCACCTGGGGACCATTAGTGGAGCTGGAATGATGAGACCAACGTCTGTGACACCTGGACTCTTACAGGTTCTAAAGTAAGTGCAGGCCGGTTCATGCGGCCCTCTCCTGTCACTTGCGCCTGTTCACGTTACACAGTTTTGGTCCAAATAGAGTGATCAGATTTCTTATTTTGCAAGGAATGGGGTGGTATGCCATAGCATGCAGGTGGAGGACAGGGCTCTGGGGTCAAACTCAGGTTGTTAGGCTCGATGACTAATATCCTTACCCGCTAAGCCACCATGTTGCCTGGGAGGATCAGGATTTCAGTTTTAACACTGAGGAAAGCAGTGAAGTTCCCAAAGCAGGTGGTTATCCTCCTCCGTGAGGACAAACAGGATACATGGTCCTCAGCCGCTGAGAGAATACTTCCTGCTTGGTGTCAGGTGACACCTTTCCTGGTGTCTTGGCCACAGTGAGATGGAGGCAGGTAATCAGGCTTCATTAGCATTCAAAATGAACTGCTTCATACAGCTGTGCCTTGTAACTTGTGACCAGTTAGCATATACTCTGCGTGAGAAGCCATTACTCAAAAGCAGCATCTAACTAGAGGGCTAAGCCTGTAAGGTAAATAGAGGGCTTTATGGGATGCATACCTTCATCTCTAGTTTCTCGTGTCTCTGGAACCCCACCTACGGTAGTTATTCATTACAGTGGGAACCAAAGGCAAAGGGCGCTTTGTCACTGAAAATGCAGGAACCACTTCCACACCACACAAAAGCCAACATTTCACCACAGACCTACACAGTCACGGGCTATGAAGTCACAAACTGCCACTTCCCCACGAATATCCATTTATAGTGTATTCATGTCAAAAGGCAAGCCATGGGATTAAGTTGTTCTTGTTTTAATAGTACTGCCACCATGTTAGAAAGGTTCTGCGCAGTTGTCTTGCTCCCTTAGCCGGTGGTGTAGTTTTCAGGCTTCCCCTGCACCTGGGCTGTTGTCAGAAGATTGTATTGATTTTTCACCACACACAGCCTTGAAGGATTAGCTGCTGGGCCTGAGCTGCTCTCCTCTCAAGAGAGGGGAACATGCATATTAGCAGCTTCGGATGCCCAGGGTCAGGTTCAGCGCATGGGCCCTTCTTTCTAGAACAGCTTAGAGCAGCTAAGATAAAAGCAAAAACAGAAGAGCCCAGATGACGGCTGGACTGTGACCTCTTCCAGGTCTTATGTGGAGATGTAGCTGGTGCTGGCCCAGAGATGCCAGGAGCAGAACCTCGGCCCCTTCACTGGCTGCTGCAGTATCACCTTACCTCTTCTTGCTGCAGCAGGATCCCACTGCCACAGCTGTCCCTCAGTGGTTTCATTTAGTCATCTCACACCCACCCCTGCTGTCTGTGTGGTTAGCATAAATGTTTTCTAGTCATCCCAAACAAAATGGGAGCAAACCAGAACTCCCTGCCTGCTGGGCCCAGAGCCTGCTGAGTTAAAGCAGCTTCATTCTGCAGTTACAGTTCTGGGATCTTGGAGTCACTCTGGAGACCTCTCAACCCACAGTAAATCCTGTCAACTCTGCTTTCAAAATACAGAAACCTGACCCCTGCCCATGGCTTCCTCTAGTGCTGTCCTGTGTTGCAGTGCTAGCTGGCCGAGCCTGAGAGTTAGCTGCCCACCCTCCTCACTCTGCTCAGCAGAGCAGCCGGAGTCCTCTACTTACAGCCACCCTGCAGCTCTTCACCCGACAGTCCCGTGACTGACAATATACTGTTCCCTCCGGCCTCCTTGTTCCTTTAAAGGCACAGGAATAGGCATTGAGGTGCACGCCTTTAATCCCAGCACTTAGGAGGCAGAGGCAGGTGGATCTCTGTGAGTTTGAAGCCAGCCTGGTCTACATAGACAACAGCAGGGCTACACAGTGAGACCCTGACTCAAAATTAAGTAAATAATAAGAGACAAGAACATTTTCTAGCACAAGTTCCTTGTTGTGGACATGGTCTCTGGTTCTGACACCTTTACAGGGACATCCTGTGGTGACCCAATGCCATCCTGCTTTCCATCTGTCTCCATCCTCTAGTGGGGGTTACCTGTTTACATGTTCCTTTGTCCCCCCAGTCTCACTCCACAGTTGGAGGTGGAAGTATTTGTTTCTATTAATAAAGTGTCCTCAGGCACCTTAGACTATTGTGTATGACTACTAGAGAAGCTCTCAAAACCAACCATGTGATTCTGTGAACTGGGGCAGGTCGGTATTGTTGTGGAAAGGGCTTACTGGCCTCCTACCATGCAGACACATGAGTGCTGCTGTCTTACAGTGGGTATTTCTCATGCTTTTTAAGGTAAGGTTTGCAACAGAGTTTCTAATTCCTATCTGAAGAAGCATTCCTCCGGCCATGTGGATGCTCTTGTGGCTCATAAGATCCCAAAGCAGCGAACAGTGTACTGCCCTAGGTGGTGTGGTCAATGAAGATAGCTGCTTCCAGCTCAGCCAATGGAGCCAAGCCCATGGGTGATGCTCAACCAGAAAGGCTCTTTGTGAAAGAGACAGTAAGCAAGGACAAGCCCCAGACCTTTTCTGTATACTACCAGGCCTATCCTGGGTTCTGTTCTGAATTCTAGGAGACACTGTGGTTATCAGAAGCCCAGATGAGTAGTAACGTGGTCATTCATTTGAAACTTGATTGCTGGTTGCTTGCCTGGCTCTTTCTGTGACTACTGTTATAAAAAAGTCATACCAAATTGCTTGTCAACAAGTCTTCAAACTACAAATCACTCTTGTGTCTTAGGTTAACTTATTAGGAAAAATACAGACTTACTGGGGAATGGATGAAGGTGTTTCAAAAGAAAGGGGGCTGGGTTGCCATGATGGCTCAGCAGGTAAGAAACTTGCCAAGCCTCCCATCCTGAGTTTGATCCCCAGATCGCATATGATCGGAGATACCCAGTTTTCGAGCACGTACACACATACAGATTTAAAAAAGAAAGAAAGGATGTTTGGGGGGAGGGGCCTGGGGAGATGGCTCAGTTGGCTAGTAATGGACCTGCTATACAATCATGAGGGCCTGAGTTTGGATTCCCAGTGCCCACTTACAAAGCTAGTAGTGGTATAGGGTTGGAGAGATGACAGAGCAGTTAAGAGTGCTTCCTGCTCTTCCAGGACCTGAGCTCAGTTCCTAGCACCCTCATCTGGCAGCTCATAGATGCCTGTCACTAGCTCTAAGAAATGTAAACCTTTTTCTGGCCTCCTCGGGTACCTGCATACATACTCACACAGATATCTGTACATCCATGCAAAATTTTTTTAAAACATTTAATTAGGCCGGGTGTTGGTGGCACACACCTTTAATCCCAGCACTCGGGAGGCAGAGGCAGGTGGATCACTGTGAGTTTGAGGCCAGCCTGGTCTCCAGAGTGAGTGCCAGGATAGACGGGGAGACAGACAGGAGCCTCCCTGGAACTGCCTGGATAGCTAGTTTTGCAAAGTTACTGAGTTCCAGGTTTAGTGATAACCCTGTTTCAATAGATAAGGAGGCTGGATATGGATTCAGCCTTTAATTCCATCCACGCAGAAGGCACAGGCAGGCAGATCTCTCTGAGTTCCAGGCCAGCCAGAGCTACATAGTAAGACCCTGTCTCAGAAAAAAAGAAAGAAAGGGATGGAGAACAAAAGAGGAAGAAGCCTGACATGGACCTCTGACCTCTGCATGGATACACGAATTCAGCAGACAGCACAAAATCCTTAAAAAATAATGTTCTGTCAGGTGTCTCTTTTTTTAAGTGAAGATTTGAACTACTGAGGTACCTTATTTGATTTTTTTATGGTCTTTAAAAGGTTTAAAAATACTTATTTTTAAAAGTTTAAATGTGTATGCCTGTTTGTGGGTATCTACACCTGTGTAGGTAGTCAGAAAAGGGGCCGAGTCTCTGGAAGCTGAGTTACAGACTTCGGGAAGTGAGCTGCCTGTCCTTTGGTAGAGTAGCGAGTGACCGTGACCCCGAACCATCTCTCCATCCCCCTATTTCAGTCTGAAATTTTAAAACCCTGTCAGTTAACCAGTCTGTATCTTTCTAAAACTGCCTTGCTCCGGTAGACACTTGATGGGATACTTGCCTCTCCTGTGCATACACGGGGAGAGAGGGGTGGACTCGAAACACACTGATTGCTTTTTGCATGCTTTTCCAACATGAAAGGTGACATGCATGTGGGTGTGTGAGGGCGAGCCTGGATTCTGCATTGTTCTTTCAAAGCTGCTGTGTGCCATGTGGTGGGAACTTGATTGTTTCAGAAGAGCTTATCCACACCCAGACAGGGTAGAGGTGCAGCTTATGTAACAGATAAGCTGTTGCCTCTGTTAAATGCCCAACTATGGAGACTGTCTTCAGCTCTGAAGGCGGGAGTCACTTGAGGATATGTGTTCCCTGCTGCTTTATGGATGAGGGCTCCCAGCTTCCTGGTGCAGAGGTTTCCTGAACCTTCTTAAGTAGCCGCTGGGCTGTACGGGCTCATTACTGCATGCACAATAGGAGCCCACACTGTCTGACTGTCAGGAGAACACCGCAGCTCTGTAGCCCAGGCTGGCCTCAGACTCTGTAGCCAAGGATGACTCTGAACTGATCTTCCTGCTCCTACCTTCTGAGGGCTGTGATTACAGGTGTGTATCACCACACCCTTTTTAATTGCTGAGGATCGAACTTGGGCTTCGTGTGCCCAACCACCCCATCTAAAGTGTCTCAGATGTTAAAGCTCTGTCTTTTCTTACTATGCAGGTCAATCCTGGAAAAGGAGGGACCAAAGTCACTTTTTAGAGGCTTGGGTCCAAATTTGGTTGGAGTTGCACCATCAAGGTAAGTCCTTAACTGTGTGCAAGCTCACTGACAGCGTCGTGCAGTGCTAAATCTCCTCTTGCCCAAGGCTGACACCGATGAACCACGCCCCCCCCCATATTAAAATTGCCTAAACATGCTAAATCTCCTCTTGCCCAAGGCTGACACCGATGAACCACGCCCCCCCCATATTAAAATTGCCTAAACATAGCCAGGCAGTGGTGACGCACGCCTTTAATCCCAGCACTCAGGAGGCAGAGGCAGGCGGATCTCTGTGAGTTCGAGACCAGCCTGGTCTCCAGAGCGAGTTCCAGGACAGCCATAGTTGTCACACAGAGAAACCCTGTCTCAAAACAACAACAAACAAACATGTGGACCGTGGAGAAGCTATGGTGACTGTGGGAAAATAAATCCGCCATCAGTGCTCTGAACTCTGTATGTGAGAGGTTCTTATCCTGAGTGTGGTGTGATCAGTCCCTGGGTGTAGAAATGCCCAGTGTTACAGCACAGAGATCCATGTCAGAATCTGCCTTCCCAGCCGGATGTCCAGGTGACTGAGGAGCATTAACCGGAAGGAATTAAAAGGTTCCTAGGCTTTACTTTCTATAACGTTATATCAGTGGTTTTTTAATTCTCTTTGAAGCCTGTGTAGAACTGCACTATTCCAGCACATTAAGCTACTGGTTCCAGTCACCTCTTTGTTTTGTTTTGTTTTTGTTTAAGATAGGGTTTCTCTGTTTAGTAGCTTTGTAGACCAGGCTGGCCTCGAACTCACAGAGATCCACCTGCCTCTGCCTCCCGCGTGCTGGGATTAAAGGCATCTGCCACCACCGCCCGGCCCATCACCTTTTTAATTAATTAAAATACTGGCCACTTTTCAAGGACTCATTATCCAAGCATAGCAAGTGTCTCTGAATGACAGAAAGTTGTTGGGCAGTGCCAATAGAAAAGGGGACTGTGTGGGTAAAGGGACAAGTTGCAGTGTGTGTCACAGGCCAAAGTCCTAGCGGTGTAGCATGATGATTTTAATTGCCTTTTCCATTCTGGAATCTGACAGTGCTTTATCCATAAAATAAGATTGGTGTGTTTGTTTGTTTAGACAGAACAAGGCTGTGAAAAGCATAAACGAAGACCAAAAAGTATACAACAAAAAGTCCTGCCTTTCAGAGTGACAAGGGGAGAACAGAGAGCAGTGGGAACATAAGTGACTGGTCACCTCAGGTTCCTCTCCTGGGAGGACTGAAGTTCTGCTGACTGGGTTCTGTGGCCTTTCTCTAACCCTGGCTTCCTGGAAGGCCAGATAACTTGACTTGGTGACGGGAAGGGGAGACTTCAGCACGGATGATTTCTCCCCACCCTGGTTTTTGTCCTGTCTCTTGGGATCTGGTGCCAGAGCTTAGTGTACACCAGAGGCCTCCTGGGATCCTGCTCAACAGTAGTCAGGACCCACTGATCAGCAGAGGCAAAGAGAGGCACCCGTCCTGCACGACAGGGTGCAGCCTGCCCCTGTTCCTGCTCCTGCTGTGGAGCTCGTGAGACACTGCAGGCGGCCACATTGCAGTCTACACACACTGTATGTCAAGGCAAGACAAGTGGAGCAGGTTTCCATCCCCAAAACACTAGACCTCTGAAATAATTATTACCATTTGTTATCCATAATAAAGAATGTGTTTCCAAACATCTCATTTTACTTTGTTATCTTGGCCACTTCTGTCACTACTTAATTTGTGGAGGGGTGTGACCATCCCAGGTACAGTGGCAGGCTTGGGTGTGAGTCCACTCTCTGACTCCTTGCCCTCTGAGAAGATCCTTCCTCTGTTCTTTTTTCTTTCTTTCTTTCTTTTTTTTTTTTTTTTTATCTTTTTGGTTTTTCAAGACAGGGTTTCTGTGTGTAACTACCCTAGTTGTCATGGAGCTCACTCTGTAGACCAGGCTGGCTTCGAACTCAGAGATCCACCTGCCTCTGCCTCCCGAGTGCTGAGACTAACGTCATATGTCGCCGCTCGCCTGGCCCTTTCTCTGTCTTGTAGTCTTGTATACATTGTGCATGTTGCAAGGGTTGTATATACTTTAAAGTGCCACAATGACTTCTTCATGGCATTCTCTCTTTGTCCTAACAGGGCTGTGTACTTTGCATGTTACTCCAAAGCCAAAGAGCAGTTTAATGGCATTTTTGTGCCTAATAGCAATACTGTGCACGTTTTCTCGGCTGGCTCTGCAGGTATGTTACCCTAGGAAGTGAGATGAAGACTCACGGCCCAAAGCATGTATTGTTTGTTTTGCTTTCTGTTTTTCCTTCCAGGAATTAGAAGTTAATTCCCTACCTCTTTTACACCTAAAATCATGTTTCAAAAGCTTTATATTGGCGTTTGTAGACCATGACTGTTAGTAGTTTGTAAACAGATTTCATTGTCTCTGACCACTCAAGCTTCTTACTCTCCCTCCAGACGCACGCATTTCTCTGCACAGGTGAGCTGTGCTTCCTTTAAAGGAATAGAGACGTGTTTTTCATGTCTTCCTGCTTTCCTATTGGGTTCTAATGTGGAGTGGGAGCTGCCTTCTCTAGTCCCCTGGATATCTGGGGTCAATCTGCCCTGTACAGCAAGGATCAGGGTTCTGTTGCTGTGTGTGTTGTGTGACACTTGAGATTGAACTTAAGGCCTTGTGCTTCCAGATAAGCCCTTCTGCTGACTGCAGAGCTCAGGGCAGGACGTTCCCCAGGGATGCTTGGGAGGAAGCATGGGCTTCTAAATTGCTAGGATGCCTCTGCCCTTTTAAACAGAGCCTTCTGTTCATTTAAATCTAAAGGTATTTTTAGAGAATTTATATTAGCATTTTATAATTCCTGCCTTCTGTTGACAGAAAGAAATTGCTGCACCAATTTCATCTATCTTTGTTACTCTCAATAAAATTACTAACCCAGATTATGATTTAGTCGGAGCAAAAAGTAATGTTAAGCAACTACTTCACTCAAGAGCAGCAATTCCCCTTAAAGCTGAGCCCTGAGAAGGGGTGCACCATTCCAAAACAAGCTGCTCTGTGGTGAATTAGCCACAATCCCAACCCTGTTAATTGCTCTGTAGCACTTAGCATTACCCAGAAGAACCTTGGGTAAAGCAAGCACACTTCAAGGGAGCCTTTGAAAGTAGTCCCCTCCAGTGTCTAATTAACCTCCTACTCAGGACTGTGGACCCAGGCATTTGGGGCTGATCTGAATGTTAAATGCTGCCGAAGGCTTACAAAAACAGTGATTCCTGGGGGCTGATCAGTTTTAAAATTATTTCCTTTAATTTCCAAGTTTGAATTCAGATAACTCAAGACTTAACACTTGTATTCTATGTTAGATGTGAGTAGTTTTTGCCCTAGGATTCAAATGAACCAAATGCCAGCAGCACCCTGTAGAGGCTGGAAAGGCCATGTATCAACCACTGTAGCACTGTGGGAACGATAGATAGATGATAGATAGATTCTGCACCCAGTTGTGACAAGCCGCTGCAGCTTGGCTTCAGAGTACTGTATGGTAAAGGCAGCTTTAACTATATCGGTGATGACTGTTTTTTTCCCTCCAGCTTTTGTCACAAATACCTTAATGAATCCTATTTGGATGGTTAAAACGAGGATGCAGCTAGAACGAAAGTAAGTTAATAGTTCCTTCCTTATCTGAGAGTTCCTGGTTTGTTTCCTTCTCCCCATACCAAGTATGGATTAAAAGCAGGGGTCCTTAGCTGTCCCCTCTTACTTCTCTGTAAGTGAAGGTAGAGATGTCTTTTGAGGAGAGGAGAGGGGAGGGAGGCCACGAAGAACAAGGGAAGATGGACAAAAAGTCCAGTCCATGGCCCCAGCTTCTTTGGGTGATCTTCTTTGGGATTCTCTGTGAACCCCACATCAGGAGGTGCATTGTGGATTCTGCAGAGGCCTGGCTGTCACCAAAAACACCAGAGAGGACACTCTGTCACCCCCAGATGGACCAGGAGTTCTTAATGCATTTTATTAGTGTTTCTTAAAGTGTTGTGGCAAAACCTACAGAAATATTGGGTTTTGCTGGGCCATGGTAGTGCATGCCTTTAATCCCAACACTCAGGAGGCAGAAGCAGGCGGATCTCTGTGAATTCAAAACCAGCCTGGTCTATAGAGCTAGTTCCAGGACAGCTAGTACTACACAGAGAAACACTGTCTTGAAAAACCAAAAAAGAAAAAGAAGTATTGGGCTTTGTTTTTTGTCGAGACAGAGTCTTGCTGTGTAGTTCAAGCTGCTTCAAATTTTCAGTCTTGCTGCCGAGAGCCACCCCAGGGTCAGGCTTGCAGGCTATACCACTATCCTTGGATAGAACAAAGGTTTTTAAAGAAATGGAAACCAATTGAAATAACATCATCGGTATTTAAAAAATCTGTGATATGCCAAATATGGTGGCGTACATCTTTGATTCCAGCACTCAGGAGGCAGAGGCAGGGGCATGGATCTCTGTGAGTTCAAGGACAGCCAGAACTACACAGAGAAACCCTGTCTCAAAAACAAACAAACAAACAAAAATTGTGTTATACTAATAATGCTTCTTTTATACAAAAATCAGATTTCTCATCAGGCCAGCAACTCCTGTGATTTTCAAGGAATCAAGGATACTAAACAGTGCTTTCTAACTTTATGAAAATGTGTAGGAAAATGATTTTATTTGTGTAAAACCATAGCTGCTACTTCTGTGGGCTGTCCCCCACACTCATTCTCCTTGGAGGAAAGCTGGTTTCTAGTAGAAACTCGGGCTCTCCCAGTCTAAGTTCAAGGAACTGCCCGGATTCTAAAAGCCTCTGGAAACACTAGCAAGCCCGTCTTTCCACCAGCTGCCTCTAGGAAAGAGGGGAGAGATGTACCTTCAGTGTGAAGGAGAGGCCTGCCTGCGCTCAGCATCATCTTGGGACCATGCATCCATCCCCTGATCTGAACCCCAGGCTCCCCCGTCCACTCTGCCCTCTGAAGTGCTTGCTAACCCTATGACAGGGATCAGTTACTTCCACAGTAAAACTCTAACTTCTAAACCAATCAACCAGACAGTCCTTTGCAGTTTTCCCAAAATGCCATGTGTGTCCTACATGGCCATCTTCCTGCGTGTGCAGTCCCTTAATAGGACTGTCCGTTCCTCTCTATGGTTGTGCTTCAAGCTTCTGACCAGCCTTGTTTCCTAGCAGCCTTTGGTATCACCTCAGAGCTAAGTGTTTAGTGTCCCGATGTCACCTGTGTTTGGCATCTGTTGAGTGAGAGCCTTTCTAGTACATTGTAGGCCTTTATTTAGGAGGGCTCTGTGAACATCTGGGAGCATGTCTTGTTCCAGTGGCTGCCATAGAAATTGCTCTTGCCTTCTACCTTACTGCACTACAACCAATGAGTTAACAGAGTTATAGTCTGGTGGGACAAAGGGTATGAGGTGCCCGGCATGCTGGAGGGTCATAATATAACCTAGGCAGGATGGAGTTAAAAGAGGATAGGTGCCTTTAATCCCAGCACTCCGGAGGCAGAGGCAGGCGGATCTCTGTGAGTTCAAAGACAGGCTAGTCTACAGAGAAAGCTCCAAGACAGAGAAACCCTGTTTCCCCCCCAAAAAAGAAAAAAGAGGATAGGTGAGCCACCTGAGGCAACAGCAGCTCCCACCATCTTGAGAGGAGCTAGGTGCAGGTACAAAGGTGGGGGTGGGGTGCACAAAAAGATTTAAGCAAGAAAACAGAGTGCGCAAGTTTAGCAATTTAGCTTGTCTTTCTCTTTTTAAATGTTTATTTTTATTTTGTGTGTATTGGTGTTTTGTACAGGTATATCTTCGTGAGGGCATAGGGACCCCAGAACTGGAGTTATGCTGTGAGCGGCCATGTGGTGCTAGGAATTGAACCCCAGTCCTCTGGAAGAGCAGCAGTCAGTGGTCTTACCACTGAGCCATCCCTCCAGCCCCAACTTGTCTCTTTTTGTAGTTTGTTGATATTTGAGACAAGGTCTCACTCTGTAAACCATGCCAGCCTGGAACTCGCATCCATCCTCTCAGCTTCCCAAATTCTGGGACTGTGGGCATGCGCCACCACTCCCGGCTGCTTCAGCTCTTGTTTCATTTTTTGACTCTAGTGTCGGCAGCCCTTATTCTATAAGAGTCTTCAGTGACTCTCAAGCAGAGGACACTGTTTCATAGGCAAAAAGGAATGTGTAGAAAAGAAACAAACAAAAGGTAAACTGATCATTTCCTTGTAAAGTGAGGACAGAGTCAGAAGAATAGTAAGAAACAGAGCACAAAGGCTCACTCTGAGCTGTCATTTGTTAAAGAAGATTAACGCAGGGGTTCTGACTAACCTTAGAATAAAATATGCTGCCGTGGGCAGGAGCACTGTCTGAGCAGCTAACAGCATTTGCTGCTCTTACAGAGGACCTGGAATCAGCTCCCTGCACCGCATCAGGCAGCTGACAACAGTCTGTAGCTCCTGCTCCAGGGAGCACTTGCGCGCACGCGCGCGCGCGCGCGCACACACACACACACACACACACACACACACACACACGACACATAAAATAAATACATCTGTAGATATTTAAAAGTAAATAAATGAGTAAAATATCAGTTAATGTGCCTAGATTAAAGAATCTATATAGCATAACTAAGAAGAAATATACATACTTATATACACACAGTATAAACATATACATATGTGTGTGCATTTTTCCCCCTGTATTTGAGGCCCTGAGTTCATTCCTTGTCATTCACACAAACTCCAGAGAACAATGGTAAGAAGTGAGTACCTTGACCTGGCAGGTAGCTCAGTGGCACAGAACTTGCCTGCCATACACAAAGCCCTGAGTTCAATCCCCATTGTACCAAAAAGATGTCTCACCGTCCTTTCCCTCAGCGTTTTCCTCGTGTGTCATGTGCTTTCCTTTGCATATCATTTTGTCCAATTTTTTTTGGGGGGGAGCTTGGATTTGTTTGTTTTGTTTTGTTTTGTTTTTTGAGACAGGGTTTCTCTGTGTAGCCCTGACTGTCCTAGAATTCACTTGGTAGACCAGGCTGGCCTCGAACTCACAGAGATCTGCCTGCCTCTGCTTCCCGAGTGCTAGGGTTAAAGGCGAGTCCAACTTTCTACTTAGCTTTCCCTCGTCTCTGTTGTCATAGTTCATCATCTTATATGTGCCACAGTTTACTTATCTAGTCCTGTTTTTAGATATTTCAATGGTTCCAACTGTTTTCTCTGACACATGTTATCTTCCATTAGCATTTTCTAGAATTGGGTTAAGGGCTGTAAACCTGCTTCAGTGACTCCCATTTCAGGTGCCATCTATTCTGTGGGCCTGTCAGGTTTCTCAGCTAACTGAACTGGCCTCACAGTGGGTCAGAGGTCAGGTGGCCTCAGGACAAGAAAGACAGGTTTCTTTTCCTGTGTCATTTCTGTGTCATGGGTGAGCCTCGTGTGACTTGGGTGTGATGGGTCTCTCAGCATCTTACATTGATCCCGTCTGACAGGGTGAGAGGCTGCAAGCAGATGAACACACTCCAGTGCGCTCGGCATGTGTACCAGACGGAAGGCATCCGTGGCTTCTATAGAGGGCTGACTGCCTCGTATGCTGGGATCTCAGAGACCATCATCTGCTTTGCTATTTATGAGAGTTTGAAGAAGTGTCTGAAGGAAGCTCCGTTAGGCTCCTCCCCAGACGGGGCTGAGAAGAGTTCCTCTGGCTTTTTTGGACTCATGGCAGCCGCTGCCGTCTCTAAGGGATGTGCCTCCTGCATTGCTTACCCACACGGTATGTTCTGCTCTTTTCTCTGGGAGCAGTGAAACGGTTGTTGACGGGGAAGCAGGTGGTGGTGGCGCACACCTTTCATCCCAGCACTGGGGCGGCAGGTGGATCTCTGGCAGCATGGTCTACTAAGTGAGTTCCAGGACAGCCAGGGATACACAGAGAAACACTTGTCTTGAAAAACAAAAGCACTTGTTGGGTTTGTCATTTGTCACAGTATGTACACTCTACGGCTTCAGTAGCACAGACTGAAATGCATGTGACATAGGTTGAGTGTCCCTTACCCGAAATGCCTGTGACGGGGGTCCATAGATTTTCACTGGGAGTATGTGCAGGGTTTTATTGGTTAAGCATGTCTGATCCAGCCAAAGTGACAAACTTTTGACTTTTGGAGATGTTTACTCTGTCCCTCCAGAGCAGAGTGACACCATCGTTGACTGACTGCATTGACACAAGCCGTGTGAGTGCTGGCCTCTTTCCTTGCTCAGCTCCACCTCAGTGTGGCAAGTGTTTGCTGGGCCAAATGTGGGTTACTGAACTTCTGTTTTCAAAGAAGTCCAAAACTAGACTTAAAATTCCCTGATTCAAAAAGTTTTGGGGGGACAAATGAAAATCACTTAGCTTCTGCTTTGAGTAGGGTGCTTTATAAATCTACTAGTTGGGCTTTTTTATTCCTTTGAGTGTGTTTGTTGTTATTTTCTACTTTGAGTAGGGTGCTTTATAAATCTACTAGTTGGGCTTTTTTGTTCCTTTGAGTGTTTTTGTTGTTATTTTATGTTTTTGTTTTTAAACAGCTCTCTATATAACCTTGGCTATTCTGGAACTCACTATGTAGACCAGGCTGGCCTTGAACTCGTAGAGATCCGCCTGCTTCTGCCTCCCGAGTGCTGGGATTAAAGATGTGCACCACTGTGCCCTGCTAGAACTTAGCTTTTCATTGTCCCTGTCAGCATGTAACTGCCCTGTCCAGGTTAGAACCGAGATGTCCAGTAGACACAGAGCCTTGACTTCTTCACACCATGTCTCTCCCACAGAGGTCATCAGGACACGGCTCCGGGAGGAAGGCACCAAGTACAAGTCGTTTGTGCAGACGGCTCGCCTGGTGTTCCGGGAGGAAGGCTACCTGGCCTTCTACCGAGGACTCTTTGCTCAGCTCATCCGGCAGATCCCCAACACTGCCATTGTGCTGTCCACCTATGAGTTCATCGTGTACCTGCTGGGAGAGCGTGCCGAGTGACAGGCCACACGGCTGTGCTCTGGAAGAATAAAACTGAAAACCCTAGAGATTTTCTTTTCCGTTGATGTTTAGTGTTCAAAGCTGAAACAGCAAAGGCCATAGAGTACCTGGCTCGTCTCACCTGTTGGACATTTCCTTTTGGATTCATGTTTCTGGAAGGTTTTAATTCATTAACGTTAATAGTTAATTATAACTTTTTTTTAACTTAAGAGGATTGAGGATTGAGCAGCAAGTAAATTAAATCATGCTATTTAATTTAAGTTTGTGCTGGGTTTGTGTTCTCTTTCATGCTCACTGTACCATAAACCAGCCACAACTTGTTTTCTAAACAACTGTAAGGACTTTCTGATGGGCAGGCAAGAGCAGTCACTTCCCAGTTTCCCCTCTGTACATTTCTAGTTTTCCATGTAGTTTTATTCATAATCTAAGTTTCTAGGCACTGAATTGGGGGGGGGTGACTTTAGCCCCCTGCCCTTTTTTTGAGACAGGGTCTTGCTACTGTAGCCCAGACTGATCTCAGACTTTATTTATTTACTTGTTTATTTGGGTTTTTGTTTGCAACAGGGTTTCTCTGTGAAACAGTCCTGGCTGTCCTGGAACTTGGCTTTGTAGACCAGCCTGGCCTTGAACTCACAGAGATCTGCCTGCCTCTGCCTCCCTAGTGCTGGGATTAAAGGTGTGCAGCACCATGGCCCGGCTTGATCTCAGATTTAAATTTTCCTGCCTCGGCCTCCAAGTGCTGAAAATGCAGATGTGTGCCGCTGGCCCTGACCTGACTAGACAAGAAATATTGTTAGCTGCATTTTACACATTTTCCTGCATTTAGACTCATCTCCACATTTGAGCCGAAGGCAGTTTTAAAGAACTGCTTATCACCTGCTGCCTTCTCAGTGTATTTCCAGAAGTGAAGTATGTTTAAGTCCAGGCACACGCTTAAGTGTGGGACACCGCAGTCTCTGATGTTGGCCTCAAACCCTGATTGTGCTGCCGTACCATGCTGTGCTTCCGAGCAGTGCAGCCCTAGGGAGGCCCTTCATTCTGATAGGGGACTGGTGTTGTCTGGAAACCTCCTTTTTAAACGTTTTTGTTTAAATAATTTTTTTTTTTTTTTTTTTTTTTTTTTTGCAAGACAGGATTTCTCTGTGTAGCCCTGGCTGTTCTGGAACTGCCTCTGTAGATCAGGCTGGCCTTGAACTCAGAGATCGTCCTCTTGAGTGCTGGGATTGTCGTGAGAAAGTTGTGAGCCACCACTGCCCAGCCTAAGATTTTTTAAGTAACTGGAATTTTAACCAGATTATAGATGGTGCACATCTGTAATCCTAGCACTCGGGAGGTACAAGCAGGAGAGTCAGCCATACCAGGTTTGAGGCCAGCCTACGCTACAAGAGACTGTCTCGAAATGAAACAAGTAAACATTAGGGTTTTATTTCAAGATTGGGTCTCATACCGCAAACTCCCTATGGAGCTAGGGATAACCTTGAACTTCTTCTGTGTTTGTTTCTTTGTTCGAAACTGTATAATCCTGGCTATCAGGCTAGCCTGGAACTCCTTTGTGAGCCCACAGAGATTCGCCTGTCTCTGTCTCCCAGCACTACCATACCCAGCCAGCCTTGAACTCCCATCTTCCTGTTTCTCACTCCCTGAGTATTGGAATTACTAGGATGTTGCTCCCCCCCCCACACACACACACACACTTGCTCAGTCTGTGGGGTGCTGGAGATCCAGCCTAGGGCTTTGTGCACAATAGATAAGCAATCTGGCCAGCCAGTCACACCCTCAGCCTGTGCCCTGACGAGGAGGGATGTAACAGAGGATCAGGAAGAGCATAGGAAGGCCAAAGCAGAAGTATAACCAGAAGCTCAGGGCCAGCCTCAGCTACGTACGGAGTCCCAGGCCAGCCAGGGCTGCATGTGAAACCCTGTGTCAGGAAGAAGGCAGGCCAGAAAAATCAGTAGTTTTCTGTCCTTCAGCTTTCACTCTGAACCTGAGCAAGTGTTACACAGGGAGCTGGTGTCTCTGTGGGGACACCGAGCAGATGCCTGCTGACTCCGAGGCAGATCCAGCAGCAGATGGTCTGGGAAGGGTGAAGGGAGAAGATTTTCAGTTGTGTGTCGTTTTCATTTGTCCGCCTTTACTGTGAAGGAGACCCGGTGTTCCCCAGCTCCTTAGCTTCAGGATGTGTTTAGAGGTCAAAGCAAGTGACTGCTTTTCCACGCTCCTGAAGGCATGAGAGGAGAGTGGTCTCCATCCCAGAAACCTGCAACTGCTTGACGTGGCATGAGGCAACAGCCCCGTTTTTAATACTCCTAGTAAAACTTGGATAATTTTATCTATCCTAATGTTTATAAATTAGATTCCTTAATTTGTTTTGGTTTTTATTTGTTTTTGTTTTGTATTTTACATGTGTGAGTGCTTTGCTCAACTCCGTGTCTTCATACCAAGACACACAGGTGCCTGGTGTGGCCTTGGAGTTTAAAGAGGGTGTGCGGTCCTGTGGGACTGAATCATGGCTGCTGGGAATCCAACCCAGGTCCTCTGAAAGACAAGTGCTCTTTCTTAACACTGAGCTGCCTCTCCAGCCCAGGTTTCTTAGTTTTGTTTTATTTTTGTTTTGTTTTGTGAGACAAGATTACAATTATTTTAGGCTGGCTTCGAACTCAGTAGCTGAAAAGGACCTTGAACTGGTCCATTTGTTTTTGCCTCCCCAATTGCTGGGATTACAGGTGTGTGGGACCATACTTGGGTAGACTGCTTCATTTTCACTTGTGGTTTGGGATGTGGATAAGTACGTTTTATATGAGCAAGTATAAGTTAGTTTTTTTGCTTTCCCTATACCAGGGCATTGAAAGACAAACGTTAACACGCAAAGCAGAAAGGGAGAAACTGGAAAGCAGGGGAAAGAGGCCATTGGACTTACCGTAGAAAAGATCTCTAGGGTGGTGGATGCAGCAATCGCATCACTTATTCCTTCTCCTTCACAAATTCAGTCAACGAAAAAAAAATTATTTTCAAACAGGATCTGTGTTGTCTTGGCTGAACTACAACTCACTATGTAGACCAGGCTGGACTCAAAGGTCTGTCTGCCTCTGCCTCTTGAGTGCTGGCACTGGTTACTCTTTCAGAGGACCCAAGTTCAATTCCCAGCACCCACATGGCAGTTCACAACTGTCTATAACTCCAGTTCCAGGGGACCTGAAAACCATGGCAAAACACCAATGCACATAAAATAAAAATAAATAAATTTTAAAAAGAAATTTACTATTTTATGTGTCTGAGTGTTTTGCCTGTTGCTTGCATGGATTGAGCCTGGTCCTCTGTAAGAGCAATAAGGTAGCCTAATTACCTTTTACTAGCCCTTAAACACACATCTGTATGCACTCTGGCTTGCACAGTCCTTGATGCCAACACTGCCAAAGGGCCAGGTATTTTTCCATATAAATTAATCCCGGCAGCCTTGTCAGCCGTGAGACTGACTGCATAGCTAGCTTGAGATGATGCAGACTGCAATGAAAAACTGACCTGCAGGAATGTGTGCCCCTCCGACTGGATGTTGAATGAAGGAGGGCCAGAAAGCCTAGTGAACGCTCTAACAAAAGGCCAGTAGCTAATGCCCGAGGCAGTCAGTTTAAAGGTGAACAAACTTGTTTTGGCTGTTTGAGTAGTTCTAGTACATGCTGGACAGATGGATCCATTGTCTGGGGGTCCATTGTCTGTGCACAGCATAGCAAAGCCAGCTAATGGCCTGCAAGCAGGAGACTAAACTCATAGTCCCCCTGCAAGACATGCCCCTCTTAGCCATCTACTGGGCCTTACTTGTTAAAAGTTTCCCACACTTGGGGCTCATCTGTTATCACTGGCTTTTTTTCTGGAGGATGTGGGTTCAGGTTCCAACACCCACATAATGACTCAGAACCATCTACCTCTAGTTCCAGGAGACCCAATGCCCTCTTCTAGCCTCTGGACACCAGGCACCATGGTGGTACACAGAGAGCAGGCAAAACACTCATACAAATAAAAGGGTTCTTTTGTTGTTCATTTTAAAAGTATCCATCTGTCACCTTCCAGTAGCCTCACCAGCTAGAGACCAAAACTTTATCACATGGGTTTTGGTGGACACTGGGCGGACCTGTCCAATCTGTAGCAGTTCTGAGTCCAAACATGGATCTAAATTTTTCCTTCTCAGGTAAAAACCTGAGACTTGGAGATACGGATAATCATGAAATGCCTGAGATGGTCAGTGATGTGCCGGCAGTTCTTTGACAAACATTGTCTACCAACCAGAGACCTTCCTTGGAACTCAAGGCAGGCACCGAATCCTCCCAGAAAGGGAATACTAGTTAAACATGATGCCACACATTTCATGGACCAGTGTAACCTACACACTCAGAGCCAGTGAAAGTCGTAAAGGAAGCCGGGAAAGGCCTATTCTCTGATGTGCAAGAGAACCTCTCCAGCCCTGAGATTTTGCGTTGGTTCCCTTCACTCATCCTGCTTCCTCCTTCCTGCCCAGTGAATGTACATACATGGGTGGGTATATGGACAGATGAACTGACGGCAGAAAGCAAGGGATTACAGTGACCTTCAGCCCATCCTTGGTCACAGAGAACCTGATTCCAAAGCACTCATAAAACGGTATGTTCATAGACTGTGTAATTAGATATAAACATTTCCTTTTTAAATTTTTTTCATTTTTTGAGACAGTGTCTCTCTACATAGCCTTGGATGTTCTGGAACCCACTGTGTATATCAGGCTGGCCTTGAACTCAGAGATCTGCCTGCCTCTGCCTCCCTACTTTGGAATTGAAGGTGTGTACCACAGTATTTCTTGCTAGTTTTTTCTTTCTTTCTTCTTTTCTTTCTTCCTTCCTTTCTTTTTCTTTTCTTTCTTTTTTTGGGGGAAGGGAGGTGGTTTCGAGACAGAGTTTCTCTGTGGCTTTGGAGCCTGGCTTGGAACTCGCTCTGTAGACCAGGCTGGCCTTGAACTCACAGAGGTCCGCCTGCCTCTGCCTCCCGAGTTTTGGGATTAAAGGCGTGTGCCACCACCACCGGGCTCTTTTTCTTTTTTTAAAGACAGGGCCTCTCTAGTAGCCTTTGGATTGTCTAGATGACCTGGAACTGACGGCTCACACCAGGCTGACCTCAAATTTACAGCAATCCACCTGCCGGCCCTGGGATTAAAGGCGCGCACCACTAAGCCTCAGTGGGTTTTTCCTGACCAGTCATTTAGCTCACCCCAATGCCGAAGCTCCCGCCTTGATCT